TGTAGATATATAACCTTTTTTTAACCAACATCATATATAAAGCCATAATAAGTAACTTAAATCAAGTAAAGATTTTAAATTAATATTTTTTAATATAGTAAATTATTTATATAAACAAATTTATTTACTTTTTTTTATTATTTACGCTTGATAAAAAAAGTTGAACTCCATCGGTAACTTACCAACAGTAAGTAACTCTGTAAATCATTCATTTAACTTTCTATGTGCTAGATGTCAGAACCAATTCTTCGAACATCTTTATTTGAATGTCGGTAAAGAAGAATATCGTTATCTGTTTTTCTTTACCTCCTGATTAAAAATTTTTCACTAGCAAATGATTTACGTAATCATAATTATTAATAAATTATGAAATATTGATTATTTATAATTACGATGCACAGATCGTTTAACAAATAGAACAAAATAATGTCATACTTTCGTCACAAACTAAGGAGTCGATAAAAAGATGAATAAAACTTAAATACATTAGGATGTTGAAAAAAGGGTCAAAGTCAATTATTATATAATTTACCAAAACGTTAGAGATAGATTTTTAACTGATAGAAAAAATACCTAAGTAAAAAATAGACACCAAAGAATCTCTGCAAAAGGATTTTGAGATACATCACCGTAAGGACGTTTTATTACAGTTTTCATCCGCAGATTAGCCCCTTTGGAACCATCGATACTCGATTCAGGAACTTTATAACCCTCATAAAAGTATCTATTTGGTGTTTTCGACTGGACCGACTAGCCTGGAGAAACTTGAACAAAAAGGTCTCTCTCGTCCACGTATCCTTATAGAATTTTTCTCAGTATACGTAAAACGATGTTATTTTTTTAGGGGTCCAATTATGCTTGGTAGCCGACCAAACCTTTTCAGCTTCTTTAAGAAACTGATCCCATCCTTTTTTTAATTTCTCCCTTATCCTGATTTCTTTCTTAAAGTGGAACTCACAGATAAAAGAATAAAGATAGTCACTTTTATTCGTGAAAGAACTATTTTCTTTTATTGTGCGTTTAGGGTAAATAGAAAATATTTCTTTTATTCATACACCAGATCTCACGATAAATTTTTTTCTTGGAAATTCATTTGCAAATATAAAAAGAAGAAATGGTAAATCAAGTATAATATCATTATCTAGAAAACTTTTATATATTTTTAATCAATTCGTTAATAATCTTTAAAAACAGAACTATCAAAACCAATGAAAATAGCTGCAAAACTTAAAACAAATCTCTATTATTTTTAATTTATATGTATATACTAATTAATATGTACTTATATATTTGACGTCAAAATATTTGATTTATCAAAACTTGAATGACGTACTTTAGATAACCTAATATACCAATCATCAGTCATTTGAATTGGTCTGATATAAACTGTTATACCTAAATTTTATAACTAAATTATATAAATATTTACCTTCAAAATTGAAAGTTGAAAAAAAATGAAAAACTAAAAAACACTTTTTACATAACCTAATATACCAATGATCAGCCATTTAAAATAGTCTGATACAAACAGTTATACATAAATTGTTAATAATTCTAATAATAATATCCTTAATTAAAAATAAGAAGAAAAATCATTTTTATGTACAATAAAACAAACTTAATTTTCTTTCTTATTGTTGGAAAATGTTTTCTTCTCATCGAGTCTTCCGGAGATTCTTGTTCTTGTTTATTCGACGATCGAATAGTACTCATCAACAAAAACAAATATCATTGCCAACACACAAAGAACGTCGCGCAAAGTTTACTCCAATTCGAGCAAAAGATATGAGAGGAAAAAAGTTGAAGGAGGAGGAGGAGGAGGAGGACGTGGATGGGTGGAGATTGGTCGGTTCGTTCGTAGTATCACAGTCGTCGAAGTACTCGGGGGTTGGGGTTTCAGGGGATGAAGTGGTCTAGGGTGGTCGGACATCGATCTGGTAGTTAACTTCAGGGCTCCCACGGGACTCGTTGGCACCTACGTAGCTTTATCGCTTTTTAGTGTGCGTGTTCTTGTAGATTTCTCTGCTGCTGCTTCCTACATTTATACGTTTATGTATTATACATATCTATATACTTAAATGTACATGTGGCGTTTGAATAACCATAGCATTCATTGCCATTAACTATACGATGCCACTTCGTACACTTTGCATTAGACCTGTTTCATTTACATTTTATTTATTCGTGTTCGATTTTAACGAAATTAATTCGAAAAATGAATGATTGTTATTACAAATGTATGTAATGTTAAAAAATAAAATGTTTAATCGAGTTTATTTGAATTAATATAAATTATTGGTTTACTAATCAGAATTTATCATTTACAACAGTTTAAAAGTATATAAAGATAATAATAATATTGTATAATTAAATAATAAATAATTATGATATTAGGTTTCAGGATAGTTTTCAATGTTTAAAGAACCAAACGTTATAATATGTTATTTTATTTATTACATTTCTTTTTACTTTTGTACACACACCTATATACAATAATTCTCTGGTTAAATTTTCTTTTTATTGTCCAAAACGTTCTTAAAAATAACAAAGTTTAATCATATAGATAACAAATCTGTTTATATATGTGTGTGTGTGTGTATATATTTATATAGATTTTCAAATTTCAAACCAAAGAATGTACAAATTCTTCGAAAAGTCTCGAAATTAATTCTTAAAAAAAATATTGGTATCTAACAGTTGCATTAATTAACAATTCAAGATCCGTGTAATTACAAAAATTAAATTGTTCGTTGTTAATAGTAATCA